CCACACCGCCAGGTAAGAAATTAAGCTGCGCAGACACCTCAGTCGCCAATGCATTGCTGGAAGCCACCACGCAGACCTTATAAAGAGCAACACTGCGCCCAAGCAATTCGGCGATCGCATGGCGCGGCGCTTTCGCCCCAACCACGACGCTTTCAATGACGAGTTGCTTGGGCCCAGCGCACGGCGGCCCAGAGTCGCCAATGTAAATGCCAAAGTCCACGCGAGGCGAAAGCACGATGGCGCCAGACGCATCGACGGCAAATACACGGATAGGGGCGGCGGCAACGCTGGAGCCTGCCACCATCCTTCCCTCGGTAAAATACGGACCCGCAAGGATGCCGCCCCAGGACAAAAAAACTGCCAGAACGAAAGGCAAAGACGCAAAGGCGCGACATGGGCACAGGAAACCCATGCTTGTGGCACTCTTCTTCGAGGGCACGAAAATCGACTGTTTCGTCGAACTTGAGCATATCGTAGAAAACACTGCAGCTGACATCCTTCTTGGCCGTTCCGCGCTCGGCCTTGACACTTTGCCTCCACGCGACATCCGCGGCCCCCACATGCGCCCTAGCAGCCCAGCACCGACGAGGGCGTTCATTCTCCCAGTGCAAAGCGAGGGGACGAAGGCACTTCCCCCAGACTCTGTACCAGGCGCAGAACACTCCTATCGGCCTGTAGCCACCACACGGCTTGGAAAGCAGCGCTAGGATAACTGCCGAGATCTGCTCAGGCAGCTGACCGAGCGATTCCATAACTTCGAGAATCATGGCTCAGGTGTCCATAGCAGGATCACTTATATTAAAATGGCGACACTTAAACCCTCGAAGCTGACCGCCGGGCTTTTTTTGCATTGCTTGGACACCTCCCTGATGGTCGCTGCTGTCAAACGGGGCAAGGAGCCCATCAACGTCGGCCCCAAGCAACAACAAATCCCACTGCCTTCGCCCCAAAAGGCAAAGAACTTGAAACCTTCCGAGGCCAAAAGAGCAGGGGTCCGACACGATCGACCCGTCGGCAGCGGAGGTGGTGGTAGGGCGCCAGGGGGCAGGGTCTCTAGTGGCTGACTGCACCCTCTTGGCCTCCTCATCAATGCCCTCGCGAACCCACTCCTGCCAACTTTTGCGGGGCCCCTTACTCGCCGCCTTGCTGGCGAGATCGACAGCCGCATCCACCTTGTCACGCAGCGCCTACCCCAAAGAGCTCTGGAGCACATAATCTGCACGAGCAAAGCCAGCAGCGCCTTCAAAAAGTGGGCGATGCCCATCCGACACCTTAACTGAAGTTGGCGGCGTACACAGCAGAGAAACTAACTGATGAGCCCGATCCCCTGCAAAGGTCTGCAGCACGCAGAGCAGCTAAGGCGCGAACTTGGAAGCTGAGCCAGCGCACCACACGCAGATCAAGACCATGAGTATGGAAGTCCCTGCCCAAGAGCTTTTTCCACGCAAGCCGAGGCCCCTTGGAACGAGCGCCTAAGATCGGCCCCGAGCAACGGCACAAGCTCCACCTCGGCCATGTCAGCCCAAGCCGCATAACAAAGACTGAGGAAGGCAGCAGCTCCCACTGCGTCGCCTCCACTCACACACTGCGCGGCCTGCTCAGCCAGAGCACGGAGGTAGAACCGGTCAGGAGGCCCGGGGGGCAGGACCGAACTCCGCGGACACAAGCATGGGGGGGGCCTCCGAAAACTCAAGCCCCGGAGCCACGCGAGAAAAGGATGCAAGGTCAGCTGGACAGGCCTGCAAGGGCTCAGGATGGCGTCGCGCATCACTCCACGCGATTTAACAGCTTTCCCCAGCCCCCCAAAAAAACAAAATGGACCAACGCACTGGGGGGCCCTTCTCCGGAGCGACACGCATGCCAATGAGTTTTTCGACAGATGAACGCTGACCGAGAACCTGAAGCGACGCGTGAAAATCGGCACCAAATACAGAAGGGAAGAGGGGAGGAGGAACAACAATCACCAAGCGTAGCCAAAAGATCCTTATTCCTCCCCGCGAGACCTTCCGAACGACGGAGATAGGCAGCACAGACGAGAACGCGAGTGCCCCGAGGGAGGTGGACGACACATGGAGCAGCACGACCAAGTTCAACCTCCGACCCTCCAGGTGGCCCACACAGGCCTGAGAAACCTCTGACCAAGACGCGCGCGCCCCAAGAAGTGGAGCCAGACCCCGCGCCCAAAGCTCTGGACCAAGGCTCTCCCAACCCCTCCTAGCAGCCCTAGCCGACGCCTGGCCGGCGCCTCCTGTCGAACCGCGCCCGCGCTCCTGGCACAGAGTGACACGCGCAGTGGCGTCGGCCAACAGCTTCTTCATGGTCGATCAACTGCCACAGTTATCGCGCGAATACAAAACTCGAGCGGATCCAACTGCACAGTAGAGGGATCCGAGTAAGAAAGGTGCCCGACGCTGCTCAAGGCAGGGCCCCCGGGGCCAGATATGTACTCAACGGGGCAGCAAGGCTCTAAGCTGACTCAAACAGGGCACATGTGACTCGG